CACTTTCTCATATTTTCCCTAACTTTACTGTTTGATCGGCGCTATGTCGCTCTGCTTACATGTTTACGATTGTTTATTTGAAGGGAATGGAATTGTAAAGTAAAGCTTACAGGAGCTTAGATTTGGATTGATGCCTGCCCATAAAGCTGTGAAGGCCTTAGCTCGTCCTGAACTTTACCCTCTTTACTTGTATAAGAGAATACTTAGGTAAGGGAGAGATGAAGCTTCTGTGATTACCTACTGTATTACTTATTTCTCTTTTTGGTTTGTTTAAGTCTTGCGTTTGACAGTATTGTTTCAAGACTTCATTATGGATTACCACCACCAGCCCGGATAATGGGTGATACGTATGTGAAAGACGAGTTCCGACGACATAAAGATGCGACTCCTGAGCAAACTGCAGTGTTCGTGAACGAGTGGACAGTGAGTTTTACCAGGTTACTTTTTATGCTGCCCCTTTATTCTGCCCAATTTGTCAAAAGTATATGTATTACATTGTTTCAGAACTATTGTGTAACTCTTGCCAAGCAATTGTCTCAAAAGGGTATTGTCAAGGGATTTATCGGCAAGGTATTGATGAAGTGATCTTGTTCCGTATAAGGGGAAGATACAAGTTATATATCTCTTTTTGCAAATATGTATCTTGAAGGATTTGGAGCCAGAAAAACTTGATAGCTTCGCAGAAGATCAATTACGACAGCTTCTAGATCTGAAACTGGAATCGGAACGGATGGCAAAGGGAGAAAGCACCAAGGTTTCAGAAAAGTCGAGTGCAAAGCAAACTAATGAATAGAGTAGAAAATGATCTAAAAGTTATAAGTTTGTCTTTCGGAATTTTAGCGACATTTACTGTTTTGACCAGTGACTTCCCGATGTGCTTAAATTATATTTTTGTAACTTTTTGAGATGTTATTAGTTCTGGTATAGACCTAGCTCTTGTTTCAGAAAAGAAAGATTTGTATAATGCACTGATTGTATGGTCTTGTGTTGAAATAGATCTCTGCTTAGGAATTAGATGATAGTTATTATTGTTGAGGTTTGATTTCTCATAATTTGCATGTACAACATGTGAGGATTTCTTTTTGTTGATTAAGTCCGCAGTCGTTGTGAGTTCGAATCCAACAAA